TTGGCCGCAGTGTCCGCCCGGCCGGCACAGTAGCAACGCAGTGGCATGCTGCACGGGCCCTGTGCTGCGGTGGGAGCTGTCAGGAAGGAAGTCTGCAAGCGTGTGTGTGTCTGTGTGTCTGTCTGTGTGTGCACGGGCAAGAGCTGGAGCCGTTTCCGGAGCAGGGTGTCTCGGGGCTGGGCTGTTAAACCGCCGACGCTCCGTGCACCAGATCATTCGTGGCACTGCAGAAGCGCATCAGGGGATGCAGCTGCTGCTCCGCAGACCTGCAGCCTTGTCTGGACCTGAAATCCCATCGTCGATGGAGGCCAGGCCAGGGTCAAGCAGAAAGCCTTGCAGGGGAGGAGGGTGATATGTGCACTGCGGATGAGTTCTTGCAAAGTTCTTGCTGGGTGGAGTTTCCCTCTGGTTTCTAATTAGTGCTAAAGTGGAGGGGCTGCGTGACGTTCGATGGCAGCTGGGCAGGAGAGGAGGAGACTCTTGGGTGGCTGGAATAACAATTAGTGTCCGTACTTGAAATGTTCTGAAAAACATCCTCCGAGGCCAGAACGCCATCGTGCATCAAGGGGGAGCTGGCTGCAGTGGCCCCACGACGAGCCTGTGGTCCCATGCACACACTGTGAGCCTCGGAGCGGAGTGCCGTCCTGCCTGCCCACAGGGTCCTGACCCCTCGGGGTGCTCTGCTGCAGCACGGCCCCCCGGAGGGCGGCTTTGCTTGGAAAACTGCAGCCCTGCTGGGACGGGTCCCCCCTGCTGCTGCCCTCCCGTGCCTGGAGGAGGATGTCCTGCAGGGACACGGCTGCCAAAAAAAAAGGGGGGGGGGCGGCAGGGCCCCGCCTGCCATACCGCTGGTGGGACGCGGGCAGGACCCCTGCACAGGCACGCTGTCACCGGGGATGCTCTGCGCTTGCAGGACAGCTTCAGTCAAGATGGTGTGGGCAGCTGCTGGGCTCCCCAGGATGGGTGCAGTCCTCGTGGGTGCAGGTGTTGTGTCCTTGTGGGAAACCTGGCGTTTGGGCTGACGTGCGGGTTTTGGTTCCCTACCTGGTGAGGTTTGCGTGCCGCGAGGGGCCGGTGCCGCTGCCTCGTGGGTGGTGAGGCTGGAGAGAGATTTGTTCCTCGGGCTGGAGCTGGGGAGATCCTGGCAGCGTGGGCAGCTCCTAGTGCAGAGGTTGGCATCCCCGTGACCTGCCAGGCACGAGCGTGACCTGCCGGACCTGGGGAGTCCTCTGGGCCCCGTCTCCTTTTGCTGTTACTGGTTGGGGACTCTGACTATAGTCTGACTTGTGCCTGATTTCAGCATTTCTACCAAAGCCTGTGGCAGGCGAATCTGGAGCTGCTTCCTCTGGGACGGGCTGTTGCACCAGTTGCTTGTGTGCAATGGAAGCGTGCCATGTCATCCCCCGGGTTTTAAACATCCCAGTTGCTCCTGTTCCCCTGAGGCTTCTCCCTTCCAGGAGGCTTCACTTCCTAAAAGAGCAGCCACTTTCCCACTTTCTTCGGTTTTCTCCTGGCTCAACCCTGCGAACACCGCCGTGGTGGAGCGGTGCCGGTGCCTTGGGACGGGTGGCTGAGTTGCAGGTGTGCCAGATCTGACTGCCAGCACTGACCGTGAGCCGGGACCCCTGGCTCTGCCGGGACTACCTTTCCCCTGGGCTCGGAGGGCGGCTGTGGGCAGGAGGGGTGCGTGCAGCAGGGGAAGTTGCCAACGAGGAGAGCATCACTCATCACCGTGTGTGCAGATGTCTGTGACAAATAAACAAATTGATGTTGTGGCTTTTCTTTCCCATTAGGTATTTTCGTGGCCACCTGTGTTTCAGCATGAAGCTCGGCTAGCAGCAAAATGAACTTACCAGGGGAAGGTGAGTGCATATGGATGGCAGTGCCAGAGCAGTTGATTCCCCTGTGATGTTGGGTGTGGGCTGGTGAATATTTCATACGTCTGTGCGCACCGCCACTGATGCCCCATTAATATTGTATTGCCTTCACAAGCTGACAAGAAATGGTTTAAGCCTTGTTTATACTAATGTCTGATCAGCATGCAAAATAAGACGACTTTCTGCCTGTAGGACCTCTTGTGTCCTTGTTTGTCACTGCTCTGCTGTCACTTCCCCACCAGCTCCCATCCTCCCGCAGGCTCTCTGCTCTGGGTACCAGCCTTGCCCTGATCGCAGTCAGGGATGGAGTCCTTGGCTGTGGGTCACAGCCCGTCCCTCTCCTGCAGTGTCTGAGCTGCACTCAGGGGCTTCTTCAGCCCGGGGTCAGCTGCTGGCATTTTGATTTCTGCTCCTTGTCACCCGCTGCAGTGGTTTTCAGTCCCTGCCGTGATGTGCTAGAGAAGACCCTGAGAGCTCCCTAATTCCTCCTGGAGTGGAAAGCTCTCAGAGCCAGCTTGGGCATCTGAAGGACTAGAAGGTCATCTCTGATCAGACAGTTGTGCCGCCTAATTATGCCATGATATTTTCCACCAGATATCTGCTGTGGAGGAAATTATCCATCCCTGTTCTCTCAGACTTAAAAGCCCCCAAAATTTTGGGGAATTCTTAGTGGAGGATTGCACAAAAGAGTTGAAAATAAGCCGGGAGTGTTTGCTGCCGAGCACGCTCATAGATGCTTGCTCAGCCCGCCCGGGTGCACTGGGGTAATCCCACCGGAGAAGTTCGTTCTGCTTCAGCCCTCCCGGTGCCTGCGGCTGCCGTGCAGGAGGCAGAGCGGGGCTGTTCTGCTGGCGGGAGCAGTGGTGTGCTGCGGCCGCGGGGAGAGCCCAGGGCACAGCAGGAAGGGAGAAGCCGTGCTCCCCGACGGCAGCCGTCAGCACCTGCCTCTCTGCCTTTCCTGTTGCCCCACAGCGGAGGAGAGCTTCCCCATGCCGGTGGCATTGGATGGGCAGCGGTGGGGGCTGTGTGTCTGCCCTGGCTGGGGTGGCAGGATGATCCCCAGGGGCATGGCACTTTGTCCTGCCGGGTGCTGCTGGAGCAGGGCCGGTGCCGCAGGCTCCCAGCCAGTCTCCCGCTTCGCACAGCAAAATGAGTGAGTCCCTTTGTTCCTCTCCGGCGGCACTCGGACCGGAGCTGCTGGGAGCATCTCGGTGGGAAATGCTCACTGTAAGCTGTTTTTGCAAAGAACAGAGCACTTCTGTGCTCCCAGCCTCTTTTTTAAACTGCAGGTCTTTCCTGCTAATTAGCCTGTTTTGGTCTGCATAGCTGTAATTATTCCAGTTGGCCTTAAATCCCAGCTGCTCCAGCTACAATGCATTGAAATGGGTCTTGTGGCATTTGCAATTATTTTTAGGGTGAACATTTGAATATATTTACATGACTGAAACAGATCAAGATAGCAGGATGGAGGAGCAGATGAGCGCTTGTCTTTTTAATGGGTCTGGCTCTGGCTTGGTGCTGCATAAATGCCAGAGCTGTTTGTTGTTCCCTCTGATTTACATCTAAACAAATGGACCAGCATTTGACTTTCTAACTTTCATATAGTATATGGGCATGCATTTGAAACTGTTTGACCTTGGTATGTTAACCAGGCAGTTGGCCAGGATATTAACCATGGTGCTAAAGGGCCACAAAAATAATTTTGGTGGTGATGTTAACCTTGCTGCTGGGATGGGCAAACGCACGCCTGGGTGGGCAGAGAGGCAGTGCCTCTGCGTGTCGTGGTAATCCGATGGTTTGAGCAGAAGTGGATAAAAGCAGAGCGGGTGGATGGTGAGCAGCTGACCGCTTCACCAGTCCGGGTAGGTGGAGCGGGATGTCAGGGGTTGGAAGGCGAACGGAGCGAGTCCCCGAGCGCCCGGCTGGTTCTGGGGCCGCCTGTGCTGGTAGGTGGGGCAGGAGCAGGCAGGCTGCCTGGCTCTGGGGCGGCTCTCCTGCCTGCTCCCCACCGAAAAGGGGCTTTGCACGGGCCGCTGCTAAATGTGCTCTTTCATGGAGAGTCGAAAACGTTTTTCTGAAGCAGTTCTTTGGATTGTCAGCAAAACAAAACGCATGGACGTCCCGTTCCTTGCACTCCATTCAGCTCCCACCCCAGCCACATAATCACAAAGAACTTGAAATCCCTGGGTGAGCCCAGGGGAGGATTGCAAAACCTGTGCTCACAAAGGGAGCAGAAGCGGGGAGGGTGTGGGAAGCAGTGCCAGTGTTTGCAGGACTCCCTCCCGGTAGGCAGCAGAGCAGGGGACTTGCAGAAACTGCAGGCTTCCTGCTGGATATCCTACCAAGACGCAGAAAACCCAAAAAGCCTTAATGCCAGATGAAGTCTTCAAGGATTTTTATGTAAGGTCAGTCTCCAGAGGAAGGGCATTTAACACTGACTCTGTGTGTTGCTGTCAGCATTCAGATGGTTTAATTTCTCAAAGTTTTTCATTCTAATGGGTAACTGCTTCTCCTGACTCAGATCCTTAAAATTTGCATGAGATGCTTTTGTTTTTCTCTTATTTCAGCTTTCCCTGTTCCCCTGTGACAGCACATTGAAACTAAAGAATATGTAGGAAGGAGACAGGTGGCTGAGAGAAGTGAGAAGACGGTGGTGTGCTGAGCTCAGTTTTGGAAGGAAGGAGAACCACAGGGAGGTTTTGGGCTTTATCTGGGATGGAACAGACTCTCTGTAAAGATTTTTTTTTAAGGACTGACTGGGTATGCATGGCCCCTCCTCTCCGACACGTTGCTGGAGCTTTGCTTCGGCTGTAAACCTGTGATTCTGGGTACACAAACAGTCCAGAAATAATCTCTTTGGGTGTGCTCTGAGGCAGACTTTAATTACCTCCTCGGTAAAAGGCATCTAGCCTGGAAGTTGCTGATAAATGAAAGAGATGATGAAAGCCTGGGATGGTGTCAGCATCCTGAAGGAGCCAGGCTGGACGCTGAGGTGCTGCCGAGCTGGATTGCGGCTCCTGCTCCTCTGACCGTGCTGTGTTTCTCTTGCAGATGCCCGTTGGATTGAACACTTGATAGCTGAAAGCTGAAGTGTGATCACCAGCCTGTGCAGAGGAGAACAGGATGCGGGTCACCATGAGGAGGGTGTTGCTGGTGGTGGGCTCGGTGGTTGCCCTGATGGTGACTCTGCACCTCGGCCAGCAGGTCCTGGAGTGCCAGCAGGTCCTGAGCGAGAGGAGGCACAGGCTGATGAGACCTGAGAATGAGGAGCTGGTCATGATGGACTCCAATCATGTCGAGTACCGTTACAGCAAGGAGATGCCCCTGATATTCATTGGTGGGGTCCCGCGGAGCGGCACGACGCTGATGAGGGCCATGCTTGATGCCCACCCTGAGGTGCGCTGTGGAGAGGAGACCCGCATCATCCCCCGCGTGTTGGCGATGCGGCAGGCCTGGTCCAAATCGGGGCGAGAGAAGATGCGCCTGGACGAAGCGGGGGTGACGGACCAAGTTTTGGACGCCGCTATGCAGGCCTTTATACTGGAAGTGATCGCCAAGCACGGCGAGCCAGCCCGGTATTTGTGTAACAAGGACCCCTTCACGCTGAAGTCCTCTGTCTACCTGTCCAGGCTGTTCCCCAATTCCAAATTCCTCCTGATGGTTCGAGACGGCCGGGCTTCGGTCCACTCCATGATCACGCGGAAAGTAACGATCGCAGGCTTCGACCTGAACAGCTACCGAGACTGCCTGACCAAGTGGAACAAAGCCATCGAGGTGATGTACTCCCAGTGCTTGGAGATCGGGCGGTCCCGGTGCCTGCCCGTCTACTACGAGCAGCTAGTGCTGCACCCCGAGCAGTCCATGCACGCCATCATGAAGTTCCTGGACATCTCCTGGAGTGACACGGTGCTGCACCACGAGGAGCTGATAGGGAAGCCCGGTGGGGTGTCGCTTTCCAAGTGAGTGTCTCGGCTCCTGCCTTGGCTTTCCGAGGAGCATTTTCGTTACACGAAGCAGGTCAAGGCTAAAACTGGGGGCAAAGATGCATTGCTTGTGTTTATGCGTGCTTTTTCAGGGGCAGAAGTGGCAGCACATCCAGTTTTGCTGCAATAGGTTTTGTGTTTCTGAGTAGAAGACACCTTGAATACTAGCAATCTGTTGTACCCAACAGAGCAGCTTGTCAGGCAAGGATTTTAGGAGCAGGTGACTGCTTTATTCATCTGTCTTGACAGTGCAGAAATGATTTTGGTCTCTAATTTGAAAAGAACTGCTTGCTCTGAAACGTGAGCTCTTTAACGCCTCTTTTCTCCACCCGTCCTCAAATACTTCCTTACCATGATTAGTTTTGCTGCTCATGAATGGCTTTCAGCGGTGAGCAGCAATTCTTGCCAGGCTTGGTGCTGGTATTGCAGAATAAAAGAAATACCTGCTCTGTGGAGACACACCCCAGCATTTCCTCCTTGCTGGCTGTCCGTCTCTGGGTGCCAGGGGGGTGCTTGCCACCTTCCACCTTCTTCTCCTCTTTTAATGCTCTTTATTTCCTAAATGGAGGCTTAAGTCTAACTTAGCAAAATGTAATCAGTGGTGTAAGGAACCATACAAGCAGTCTTTGTATAAATTGCTCATGCCCGAGTGGTGAGGGCAGCCATGGACATGCAGCTGCTCTGTTTCTCGGGGACAGACAGGGGTGTGCGGCCAGGTTCTGCTTCCCCCCACCGTGAGATGCTCTTCCAGATGAGGCTGCGCAGCATTGCCTGTGCCTTGGCAATCGGTAACTGGGACGCTCTGGTGAGGCTCAGGATCCGCAGCGCCTGTGCACATTCATCCTTCTTAGGACGCCGTGTCGCCTGTGCCGCGTGGGGTGTGGTTTCCTTCGGCTGGAGTCGAGCAGGCGGCTGCTCGCCATGCCGAGCTCAGGGTGCAGAGGGGGGGCTGTACCTGCGAGGGGCTCGTTCCTCGGCGTTTGGAGGGCAGGCAGCATGGCTGGTGGGGAGTGCCTCCCAGCGCCCTTACCCCAGGCAGAACAGGAAGGCAGCTGTGGTGTAGAATAAAGAGGTGCAGGCACCTGTGATGCCTGTAGCGATGATTTCTCCAGGGCTTTCAGCACTATTTGCTGAGTAAATTTTGTCAAGGTTGCCTAAACAGATAAGTTTTTGGATTTTCAGTGGGGTCGTGTGGTGTATCTGTGCTACAGATGACACATCTTTCATTATTTTCCTGTAACAAGCAGAGGTGTCCTGGTAACACCCCGACCCCGGTGCAGGATGGATCCCCCC